CAGGAGGGGCAGTTGGGGGTGAGCAGGCCGTCAGGCAGAGTGGTTAGGGGTGATCAGGAAGGTAGGCAGGCAGGTGAGCGGTTAGGAGCCAATGGTCCTGGATTGCAAGAGGGATGTCCGACTGCCGGTTTAGGCACAGGGATCGGGCCTAAACCGGCAGTTGGACATCCCCTGAGGGGTCCCAGATTGGAGAGGGTGCAGGCCAGGCTGAGGGACCCCGCTCCAGTGCATGAATTTTCATGCACCGGGCCTCTAGTTTACTTATAAAATCTGTACTATTAGATGTATATGTTACTGATAGTTATTCCCAGCCATTAATAATACTTTTGTATAGATATCTCTGGTTAGGTTATTTTACACAATTTGTACATTTCCAGAAGTGTTTTTTGTGTGTCAAAGGATATGCTTATTTTTAAGGCCCATTTTATACATTGTCTATTTTCCTTTGGTGGTGTGCCTATTTATACTCTTATCAAGATAATATGAAATTACCTGGTTTTCTAAACTCCTGCTAACTCTAGGAATTATAATATCTAAATGTTTGCAAAATTTTTATATAATTTAGAGACAATTATCCTACTTACATTTTATCTTGAAAAATAATCTTTGTTTTGGCCTGCTGGGATATTTTAGATTCTGTTTCTGTCTCTCACAAGTTTTCTGTCTTAAACTTCATGTCACTTGCAAATTTGATAAAAATTAAAGCTTTGTAAAATACAGAGTGTAGTGAATCCTGTATTAGGCCAATAGAAATTTCCCATCAACCCATTCATTCAGCATCCCAATGAATGATCATTCAGCAAGTTCCTAGCCCACTCAATTGTCCCAGCATCTGACTCACATTTTTCAACCTTTCTTAAAATATGCAATGAAATGTGTCAAATATTTTGTTTGCATCCAGATATACTGGATCTGCCACAATCCTCTGATGAATCAATGTAATAACCCTGTGAAAAAATAGCAAACCTTTATTTGTGCATGGCCCTTTACACTTTGAAAGCATTTTTAGCCTCATTTCATTCGATGCTCACACAACCCCATGGTGTTGTAATGAAGAGGCTGAGGCTCTGGGAAATTAGGTACCTTGTCCAAGGTCACAGAGGTTGTCCAAGTGACAGAACTCAGAGTTGGCTCTGCTTCCCTCTAGTGATTGTTGCTTCCTTTCCAAGCCTCCGCTAATCATTATTGTACTAAACAGCACAATGCCTGCTTAATGAGTCTTCCTTTTCCTGGACTATGACTTAGCCAGTTCTCACATTCTTTCAGGACCCTGGGGAGAGATTTGTCTGGGCAAAAAAAATCTGAAATTATTTTAAAGCAAGTTTGTTCTTCAAATTCTTAACCAATATTGATTTTTTTAATTTATTTTTATTATATGTACCTTTTTTTAAAAAATTGGTTTCAGAGAGGAAAGGAGAGGGAGAGAAAGAGAGAAACATCAATAATGAGAGAGAATCATTGATCAGCTGCTTCCTGCATGCCCCCCACTGGGACTGAGACCACAGCCTGGGCATGTGCCCTGACCAGGAATCAAACCATGACCTCCTGGTTCATAGGTCATTGCTCAACCACTGAGCCATGCCAGCCAGGCTATATGTACCTTCTCTGA